GACGGCCCCAAAAGCCCAGCCTTTCAAAGCAGTGACCCAGGCCTCCCTGGGGATGCCCCCCTGGGCCTGTGCCCCCTGAAACCCACCCCGATGCCTCCCTGACCCCTGTGGTGAGGCCAGCAGGGCGTTGGTGGGTGGAGGAGGCAGGCAGGGACCGGCTTTTCCTTCTGCTGACCCCAGGGAAAAGCTGATGCTGGTGGGGAGCAGGGCGGCGGGCGCAGCTGCGGGGCTCTTTGCCGGTCCCCTCCCTGCCCGGAGGGCGGTGGCGGCAGTGACGCCGAATTCGGGCTGTGGTCCCCCCTCTCTGAGCCCTCTCTGTGTTTCAGGGTTGGTGTTGTTCAGCTGCGTGGGTGCCGATGCCAACGTCACTGCCAGCACGGAGGGGGTCTCCTGCGGCGCGGACCAGAGCTGCACCGGTAAGGATGGGTGATTTTATTAAGGACTTTGACCACTCTATTTCATGGGAACAAAGTGATAAATAAACTTTTGTTATAGTTTTTTTTGGCCAATGTTGGCACGCAGGTTGCCAGAGCAATCAAGGTCGTCAGCCGCCTTGAGTTAACGAGGTGCAGGAGTTGGGAGTGAAAGCCAGGGCAGGTGATCCGGGCTGACCAATTAATAATTACCCCATACCATAAACATCACATTCACTCTAAATTAGGGAGTTTTGGACCTTCTTCCTCCCTCCTGCTCCTTCCTCTTTCACAGCCAACATCTCAAGAGGGACTTCTTTCCCGCTCTGCCCCTGAGGCTTAACCCCCCCACAATATTGTCTGCGTGTATTTTATATTATAACCATTAATAATTTTAGGTTTTATTATTGTTATTTTATTCAACCTATTACAGTTTCAACCCATGGATCTGCTTTCCTTTTCCTGACCCCCCCATATCCCGGGTGGGGAGGAGACATTGGGAGATAGATGGCACTGAGGTATCACAGGGTGTAAATGCATATCATAGGGCATAAATATGTATCATAGGGTATAAACCACATCATGTCAAGATGTCATTGTCCCTGTTTCCCTCAGGGAATGTGACACAGCTGCGGCACCAAGGCCACTTCTCCCGCTGTCCCGAGGAGTACAGGCACTACTGCGTCAAGGGGCGATGCCGCTTCCTCGTGGCCGAAAAGGCGCCCGCTTGCGTGTAAGCCACCGCCGGCAGGGACGGGAGGGGAACTTTTTTTGGACAATGATGGTTTTTCGGACACGCCACCCCTTCCCTGTGCAGGTGTGAGCGAGGTTACACGGGAGCTCGTTGCGAAAGGGTGGATATCTTCTACCTGCGAGGCGACCGGGGCCAGATTGTGATCATCTCCGTGATCGCAGCTGTCGTCACCCTCATCGCCCTCGGCATCTGCGCCTGCCTCTGCACTCAGTATGTGGGGGGAACAGGGCAGCTCCAAAAGCGGGAGTGCTCGGAGTGCCCTGTTCATGTGGGGCCTCTGAGGGTGCTGGGAGGTGCATGGGCATCGTTCTGGGGTGAGAAACCACACGCGAGCCAACACCAATGTTTCATTCTGCTTTTTTTATTTTGGGGGGGTTTTAATTATTATTTCACACAGTCACTGTCGGAAGCAGCGGAGGAAGAGAAAAGCAGAAGAGATGGAGACACTCAACAAGGATTTGCCTTCCAAAAATGAGGATGTGCTGGAAACGGGCATTGCGTGAAGGTGTGGAGGGCTGGGGGGGCAGTGGTGTGAGACCCTCCCTCTTTTTTGGGGT